GAAAGAGTGATTTTTTTTCTAGCTGTTTTAGATATTTTGACAATCCACCAAACCAAAGAATGCAAAGTCTGCCAAAAAGGACTTTCTTGAAAAAACAACAGATTTATTTTGGCCAGAGTCAATTCAAAGCACAGCTGTACAACTGCATGTACTAATGAACTATAGAAAACTGTGGTGAAGAACAACAGTAGGATCTTCTACAACAGTGATTCTCAACCTCAGGGTCGCAAACTATTTGGGGCCTGTAGCACTTACAATTGGATTACAGGTCCCACAGCCATTCAATTACCAAAGATGGGCTTGGACTGGAAGTAAAACAGTTACTTGCCAGCCAGGAGTTTGATCATGAACCCAAAAATGAGGTCACAGCCCAAAAGAGACTGGGAAAGGTTTTCTATGGAAATATCTATTCATGACTACAAAGTGCATCAATTTGCTTAGGATATGCTCGAAGGAGCGGGGGGACAGGGGGACAGAAGTTAGATCCATAGAGGGGGCAAGTGCTGTGTATGTTGATTTTTGTAAGGAGGAAGGCAGGGTATATTTGCACCTTACAGACTAACCAAAGTAGATATATTTACAAGCTTTTGTGAGCTGAATCTCACTTCATCAGAAGCTATAAAAGAAAATGTAGAAAGCAGATTATAAGAAGGAGAGAGAACCTGGAATACAAAAGACAAAGGAGGGGGAGAGAGGGAGGGGAAGAATTCAGTTTTATCAGGTGTTCAGGTTAGGAAGTAAACTGCAGTTTAATTCTAATTTAGTGTCAGGAGCCTGTGCTCTTTTGTTCTGTAGAAATCCAAAGATATAATAATAATGATATATAGAGAGAGGTACAAATACACATAGAATGAGTAAAACCATCAATCATATACCTTTACTGAATAGTTACTTAAAAGGTCCTTAGATCACGCCTTTATGGTTAGATTTCTATATAAGACATTTTACAGTCAGGTATTCTTTAAGAACAAAGGAATTGTTTTACCATGCTATACCCTGGGGAGAAATTTCTTCCTGACCCCACCAGGCTTTCAGAGGATGCCTTGAAGTGTGAGGATCAATATTCCTTATAATTTTTATCACAGTTAGTATAATTTGCTACAAACCTTGCCTACCTGCTCTGAGAGAGAACTGCTATATTTTTTAGACATCCTTTTCTTCATGGTTTCCTTTACAGACTTCACTTTTTTGCCAAGGGATATGCGGGAGGCAGAGGGTGATTTGATCACTTCTTTGTAAACAAAATCTCCTTCTTTGCCCTGCAAAATACAATAAGTTATGTCTATAATTTAAAAAAGTAAACTCTTTCCTGTCTTCTACTTCTCACTCCAGCCTTCATGGAAAGGTATCCAGGGGAGACCCTGAAAGACAGTATAGTGGTCAGTTCATTGCTGTAAGCTTCACCAGGTAAATTTCCTCCACCCTAACCCTGATAATAAACAGAGAAGGATATGCTGGGGTAGTAGACAGTATTTGGATACATTCTTCCCTTTGAATTTCTACTGAACATTCAATCAGTTAGGGAAAACTATTGCTGGATGTCAGATGCTTCAGATAAAACATACCACTGTAATCCTGTCTCCAAAGCCCTTTTTTTCAACAGCAGGCACAGTAATCATGGCCTGGGCCAACTAATTATCTGGCTAATTCTGTTCTGGCTGCCTGAATTTTATTTTCAGCTGGATGTGGTGCATTTAACTTCCCTCTCTAAACTGCTATGCAGTTTTAAAGTAAGTTGTTAAAGCAGCAGCTGCATCCACCCAACATGTGAGGTGGCTGCACTGAAACAGTAGACAAAATAATTCTTGCATAGACAATTTGTACCATCAGTCTATAAAGCACATTATTTCTTTACATGGCTCCCAAAACTATATTACAGAGGCATCAGTAGCAACTTCATTGCTAGGGCTGCCCTGAGATTTGGCACTTGAAGCAGGACTAAAATTCATTTAATTCCATAATGATAAAATGTAATGTCTAATTTGATACACTGACCCTTCGGAGGATAATTGAATTTATCTTAGAACCAAAAACACCACACATGGGTAAAATACCACACAAAGCCGGTCTAGACAAAACTACCTTTTTCTTCAAAACTGAGTCTATAAGGCCTACACTCCTTTGACCTTTATTTCCTTTTGTGAAAATTCTCTTTAAAATGTTACAAAATCTAATGGACAGTTAGCGCTACCTTTTCCCCCTTACAGGGTCATTTATAAAGATAACCTCACTGCTGAATTTATTTCTTCTTTGGGCCAGTTTAAAAATCTTTTTTCTTTGCCTTCTGTGTCCTGAAAAAACATTAAACTAATGCCATTAAAATGTTTCAGCAAATCCACTTGATCTGCATGCATTATTATGGTGTATTATGTCTCTCTCACTGTTGGTGGGAGAGGAAGCATAACATCCAGATTTCACAGTTTCCCAGAGCAAAGTATGATCTGTATGAAACCTACAAAACCAGCTGAAAGATACACATCGTGTGTTTATAAATCAAGGGTAAAGAAGAAATAATTGCAGACATAGTACGCTAATCTTAAAGAATCTAATCCTTTTTATTCATCAAACATGCCTGTAACAAGTTGATTTATGATTTAGACCTGATTAAAATTTATAACAGACAAAGACCAAGGATGACTAAGGTTTTTCTGAAGAAAAATTACATCAGTAATTTCATACAGGACACTGAATCATTCCATTTTTATACAATTGTTACTTCTTGGCTACAAACCTCATAAGAACAAGTTTTGGATCAAAGCAAGCAGCTTGACTGGACAAATTCTTATAGTGGTTTTACTGTTTATTATGGCTGGACCCTGATCCATGACTGCAGCTCCTAGACACTTTGATGATACAAATAATAAATAACACTAGTAGTTTTCATCTAAATTAAAATCAAAGCTCATCACAAGTACTAACAAATGCAAGTTTTCTGCACCATTATGAGATGTAAGCGACTGTATCTGTTGTAGAGATGAAGCACACCTATGATGTGACTAGCTGGAAGTGACACTATGAGTGAATGGGAGGGCTAGGAGCAGAGTACAGATCTGTCCCCTACTCCTATGCTTGAAGCCCTGATGCAGTAGATAAACAAATGCATACATACACGGATATGGGTGGATATATTATTCATGGGACTGAGAAAGCTTCTGGTTAATGCAAATACAAAAATACTGTGCGCTGTGTGCTTCTTGGATTGTCAAACTGCTATTGTGGACCTAAACTACATTTAAAAGCAACATAAATACCCACTGTGCTTTTTGTCTTCTACAAGAGGAGCTTTCTATTATTTCAGGCCTGCCCCTTCCTGCCTCATACTCACCATATGGTCAGTATTGTTTCCAATATGCAGAGATCGATTTGTCAAGTCAAATCCTCCAAAGCTGCAGGTTCTCTGTGGAAAGGACAGGTTGGTATAGAAACAGTCTCAGGATAAACAATTAACTCACTCATGCATCTTCTCCCACTTGGAAAAACACTACTGAAAACACAAACATGTGCAAAAATGGAAACTTAAAAGGAAGGATGAGAAACCAAAAGTACACACATTACTACCGTGGATTGTGAGTAAAGAATCAGTTATCTTTGCACAGGCCCTTTGGGCCTGGGCCTGCTTCCTCTGAGTTGTCTAGTCTAGACTCTATTAAACAATTTTGGGCCTCAGAAAACTGCTCCTTTTTTACAGCTAGTGCTCCAATTTGCTAGCAACTTCACCCTTGCATTCCAACAGCCCCTCAAAACCAGCCCAGAAAGGTACTGGGAATCTGAGGGGAATCCAATCCTCTTAACACAAGTTGTGAGCACCTTCTGGAGGTAGCTCAAACCCATTAAACTTCTACCAGAATCAATGGAGAAACTAACCTACTGCAGACTTAAGCCCTTGGTAGGCTCTACCAACAAACCCTGCCCAGCAGTCAAAGAAGGAGTATGCACCCCACCGGCATTATTCTTAGAAAGCACTGACTTCAGTTTAGACATCTCTCACCACCTCCTTAGTGGTACAAGGCAGCTTTGTTACTTCTGGGAGAGAAAGTGGGTTATATTTACAATGGCACAATCAACTCAAAGGAATGACTCACTTGCTGCTCCCCAGTCTTGGCCAAAATCACTGGTGCATTTATCATAATCATCCTGTCTCAGAACAGCAGCATTATGACACCACTACTCTCCCCACAAGACAAAGCAATGGACTGACCATCCCAACTAAGTAAAGTCACATTTCCATGGCAAGAATCAAAGTGCTCAGGTCTGGTGGGTGGGCCCTGCATCAGCTAGAAGAGGACTAGCTCCTTAAAAGTCAATGGGGATCCAACTGCTGCCTTTCAATCCACAGAGGTCAAGCTGTTAAGCTATTTTTCCCCTGAATGACTAGCTGCACAGTACAGTAATTACCTTGCCCTATTCTAATGATTTTGTGCTTTTAGATGTTCTTTGCTGACAGAAGCCTTATGAGACAATCCCTGAAAACAAGCATGCACCTATCACTATTTATTTATACAGCATTCATAGAGAGCTTTGATAGGGGATGTGCAGACAGGTTTAAAATGATTTATTTATAGTTGGATATAAAGAAGTGGGAAGAATATCTGAAGAACAACGATAGGAGCCAGTGCACTGTGTATTTTTAAGGGCTGATGTACATTTTTGTGAATTCAGTGGGCATTAGATCAGGTCCACAGCAGCTGGTACAGATTTGCCCAGTGTACACTCAGGACTAGTTAAAAGCCCTTATAATAAAGTAACACTTACAATCACCTACATGACCCAGTGAGAGGCACAGAGACTGTACTGCCCAGAAACAAGACCCACATACTACCTGACCCAGTAAGCAACTAAGTTAATGGGTCTAATTAGAAAAAAAACCTTAGCTTCATTTCTAATCAGCACACAGAAATAATAACTTATTTTTTCCTAAAATCATGCTTTGCTTCTTAATTTTTGCTCTATCTTGTACATATTCAGTGATTGTTTACATCTTTTTCTTCACTGTTCAAACTTTTACATGCAAGAAAGGTGGTGGCAGTAGCCTACCCCGTGGCTCTTTTAGAACCCAAAGGCAATGAATACCATCCTTACAGCCCTGGAAACAGTGCTACTGAAAAACCTAAAGATGCAATAAATGAGAGATTTGTTTATTTTCAGGACCCTCACCCACTGCAGAAAGGTACCACAATGTGGAAGAGCTTCTTTGCAGATATTGCTAGCTACATCTTGATGGCAGTGAGTAAAGTATAACTTTAAAAAACTAGTTGCTGAAAGCATCTTAAATCACTATTTAGTCCAGAGTTTTTCCACCTGAAGGATATCGGGAACCCTGGACTTCTTCAGTGGAAGAGTGACACAGCAGAACAACAAATATGGAGAACCCCTTAAAAAAAGGGGTGGCAGACTGAGACAAACTCAAAGGACCAAGGCTTTGCTCCTGTGCTCCCATGGCATTCAATGTCAAGACCCAGCCCCAGGACCACTAGCAAATGCTTTTTCCTTCAAGCCATACACTGCCTTCTGGTGAACTAGGAGAAAGGGAACAACAGAAAAATCTAAGGAAGAGGTTCACAAACTTTTTCTTATTGCATACCTCATTCCAGATTTACTGGCTGCCTGCATACCCCTACCAGCATATGTTTTATATTTTAATCCAGCAGTTCCCAAACTCTGACAGATTGTGCACCACCAATTTTAAATGATACAACCTTAAATATCACCAGCAAACTTTTGTCATATAAAGTAATTATAATAAATCTGTTAATGCATACCACTGGTGGTATCCATACCACAGATTGGGAAATTGCTGTTTTAACCCCATAAATGCCAATTATTATTATAATGAAAATTAAATCTGCCATTACACAGTTTCTCCTGTAAAAGTACCCCCTAGAGATGTTTTGTGTAACCCCAAGAGTACACGTACCACAATTTGGGAACCCCTGATCTAGGGTGCAAAGGAAATAAGGAGAATAGAAGACACATCAGGGAGACTCAGAGCAGAAGCCCAAACAAACTAAGACAACCTTTTTTGCTCCTGAAGCACTCAGCTGCAAAAGCAAAGGGGACTTCACCAAAAAAAAGCTTAGAAACAGATGATTGTCCCACTGGTAACAAAAATCAGCTCAGAACCTAAGTCATAAGAATGGCTTTCAAGCACTATTTATAAAAAGCAATGCCCCAATCCTACTAGCACCAGTAAGATCTGTTTAAGAACAGCACATTTTACCACGTGTATGGGAACCTTCCATAATGAGGCCATTCAAACTAGTCCTACACTGCGACGGTGAATCCAACACTAGCACATGAACAAAGGACAAGAATGACAAGACATGCACTGAGCCAATGGTTTTTAAACAAGCCAGAAAATCTGCTGTAGGAATCTTCCCTGAGAAAAAACAGTCTTTTGGTTACACAGCATTTGAGCAGTTGCATCACATTAAACATTCTGATTGTTCCAATATGAAAAAAGACACGTATCCTTGTAAATCTGGAACAGTCAACTTTCACTTTCTGGTTTCTTTGATAACTTTTGATAAAGTGGACCAAATGAAAAGGTCTGTGGATGAAGAGAGGAATATTCAATGGAATGGCCATGCACTCAAAAAATATACCAGCATTTTGGGAGGAAAGAAAAACTGACATGATTTAAAATTTCCACGTGTGACCAGATCACTGAAACAGATGTAAATGATGAAAACAAACTGCAAGACAACACAGAGCGACCATTTCCACTGAATACAAAAGCATGGCAATTTCTCTGAGGTTGCAGCAAGTGTTATGTTGTTATTAAGAAGGAGAGAAAGTGTGTGAAGGGAAATAAAAGTTTATTAGCAGTCTTAAAAAATAGTTTCTTTAAACCTAAGGTAAGCAGTCACTCCCTCCTTCCACAAGTTTCCTCTTTTAAAGAACTCGCAAAGTAGTTAATTGGTGAGCTCTCCCTTTAAACTCAGAAGAACGCTTTTTTCCTTCTCTAACTGTATTTGTGTGAACAAGTTCAAGTCAGATAGTTCTCATAGAGCTTCCAGAGAGATTACCATGGGGAGACTACTCTCAAGTTGCTAAAATACTAAACGACTGATCCAACAGAGGTAGTATCTGTATTTACCAGAATATACTCTGCATCAAAGGGTGTTTCTAATGAATGGCTTTGGTTCTTTTTTAGAAGGTAAGAGGAACCAGTGGATCTATCTTGCTTGTCCCCTGACACCCCTCAAAGATTCAATTCACAGACAAATATCACCAGTTGAAATGTCATTACAGAAAATAATTTGAAAACAGAGAATAACATTGAAAAAAATATCTGTTAGTCTACACAGAAGCACTAGTGGGATAGCCAGGAGAAACTGTTATTTGTACCTGGCAGAAATAAAGTATTGCATCACTAAAGTGGGCATCAACCAGATGTAAGTATGGAATATCAATCCGGATCAACTCCTACTGGTGACTTAACAATTTGTCAGACACCAAGGATATGACTATGCAGTTCTTCTACCAAAATAACTCATGCCTTAAAAATTTAACTTCATGAGAAGTCTACCAAAATATTCTATACAATCTATAACTGGAGGGAATATGTTGCTTGAACGTATGAGCCTAGACATTACCAACCACCACTCCTTTTCTTCAGAACAAGAACATATATCTATACTGCCAGGACAACAAACTGGCTAAGACTGAGACTATGGATGGTGCTGATAGAAAGTTTTTAGGGAATTTAAGACTGTCTACACTGAGTGAAGAGGGTTCAGTCACTCTGCTGAGTTCCACCCATCTGTACACATCAACCTCAGAAATGAGGTGGTAAGGACATCTTTATGGGGATCCCCAACACTGGGGCTTCTGGTGACCACAAGAACAGTGACTTGGTGCGTCTTCATGGTGTCCTGGGGATGCATGAAGCTTATTTCCTTGGCATCACAACCAAACATCTTTTTGTCTATACTGCTCATAGTTCACATATTCTAGGAGTTTTGCAGCCAAAAAGAGCAATGGCTGGTTTGGGGATTTGGAGCACAGCTTAACTCACTTTACTTATTTCCTGTTGTACTTGGCTGACCAACCCTTCTCTTTTCCATATCACTATGTTCCCTCCATGTCATGCTCAGGAAGTAGAAGCATCAACCAGGCATGGTGCAGAAAGGACACAGAGCACTATCAGGCTGAGAAGACAAGTTTGGGTGGGGGGGAAGCAGCAGGCAGGGGTGGACTCCCTGCCTCTCTCAGTGCTTTGCATATAGGAGGTAAGCTACTGAGCTGAGTGAGCTGTGTTAGCAGCTGAGAAGAAAAACTGGAGGGTGGGGAGAGCGGGAATGAGGGCAGTACAGAAAGCAGAAGGAAGCAGAGAGAGAGAAGCAGGGTACTAAGAGTTTTCCATGCCTCTAAAGGGTTTACAATAGCCCACAATCATCTGACCCCAGCACTCTAGCCTGCCTATGCAGGGAGTCGGACTCGATGATCTGTTGAGGTCCCTTCCAACCCTAACATCTATGAGTCTATGACAATATTTTCTTTAAAAGAATGCAGGACTAATTTTCAGAACAGTGGGGGAACACTGTTGTATTGCTTCTCTTTTCTGCCCCCTCAAAATGTCCATTTCTGAGCTTTAAGAAAAACCTTTTCTTGTCACATTTGCTATTTCTCATTGAGATGCTCCTGGCAGATGGGAGCTCAAGGAGACTTTTTCACTGGGGACTGGAATACCCTCCCCACCTCCACATCTCTCTCATGTTTAAAATCTTCTGCCGGTAAGTAAGAAGTGAAAGCATTGAACCAAAGGGCGTAGCTTAGGGTAAAAAGCAGCAACGTGGCTGACTGCAACCTCAAAGAAATTGGAAGGCCTCTGTTATGACAGCTCTTTGACTCACAGACTTTTGGTGGATTCTCAAGAGAACCCTTTTAGTGCAGCGGTCCACTGTGGCAGCCCACTTCCTCTTGGCTTCCTCATCTTCCTCCAGCAGGCATCTCCTCAGGTCCTGTTTGTCAGCCTTGCTCAGGGTCCTATCAGTGACAGGGCGCACCAGCTGTGATAGGTTGAGGTGGCTGTATAGGCTTCTCTCCACCACATAGGTGATATTAAACTCGCTGACAGAAGTACGACCCCGTAGCCTTCTGTTTGGGAAGCCACAACCTCCTCCTCCTTTGGCTTTGTGCCGGAGCAGCTGGAGGTCGCAAGTTGTGGGACACGCTCCTTTCCTAGCAGGACGCTGGCAAAGAAAAGCTCTGGAACAGGAATAGTTAGCATCCATCTTCTTCAGTCGGATCTGCTTCCTGACACTTTGAACCTCCTCCAAGGACACCAAGAGATGGTGCTTGTGCCTGTTGTCATAAAAGCAAACACTTTCAGTACTTACCCCATGGCTCAGGGAGCCAAGGCTCTTCTTCATTTCCCCATCTGTCAAGGAGCGGCAAACTTTCTGGGTCTTTTCTTCTTCTGGGTAAGAGAAAAATGTCCCAAGTTTCTTGGGGGGCTTAATAAGGCCACGACCGTCATTTTTGCTGAAGGTCTTCACCAACTTCCGGTTAGCACCCCAGGTATCTAGACTGCTAGATGAAGGGGAAGTAGTGAGTGAGTCTGAATCATCCTCTGGCTGCTTCTCACAGGAGCCATCATAATAGAATTGCTTCTTGTGAACTCCAGAATAAAGTGCCGATCTGTCATCCAGTATAGGAGAGCTGTCGAGTGAGTGCTCTTCCACACCTAGAGGGGACAAAGGCAGCATAATGCATGTCATCTTTCACACTTATCTTCTAATTTACTCATACATTAATGTCTCTTCCCCTGCAGCTTGGCATAGGAACATTCATTTCCTTTAATTAAAACAACAACAGACATGCCTTTAAATTGAAAATAATTATAATAATAATAAATTCTACCTGTCGGCTGTGATGCACAGGAGCCCCTACTGCATTTGCCGATGGAGTGTGTTTTTAATGATTTCACCCTCCTCCTACTTGCTAAGTTAAAATTCTAGGATAACTTAATAAGAAATAGTGGTATGGACTATTTTCAAAAGGCCCCAATTTAGGCCTTTTCAGCATTTAAAACGTTGCTTTTCCTCCAAGTAGTGTCACTACTAAAACCCTTAAAAAGCTGAAACCAATATTCATTGCCTAGCACAAAATATTCTCTCTCTAAATGCCTACAAACATTTATATATATTAATAAGATATAATAATAATGATAAAATATTTCGCATTTACACAGTAGTTCTCATCCATCATTTTCACCATTCTCATGAAGATACAGGAGGTATTTTCTCTATCTTAAAGATGTGGTAGATGAATAGAAATGCAATATTTTGCTCTAAGTGCACAGCAAATCAGTGGCAGGGCTGGGATCAGCCCTTCAATCTCTAGTATGTTCCCTGTTTGCCAGAACTTGTTGCCCCTATGCTGGCTTGTTATTGCTTCTCCGTCTATTACATTATCAGCAAGGGGCCAAAATATGCAATAGCCTAAGTGCAGGGGTGCTCAAACTTTTGGCCCCATGGGTCAGGACCAATCTGTGGGCCAGATCAGGCTCCGTGTGCCAAAATCAGGCCCTGTGCCACCTCTGCCTAGCCTTGCACACCAGGATTGGGCCCCATGCAGCCCCAACTGTGGGTCCCCACAGGTCCAGAAATTTGGCAGCAGGGCAACAGCAACTAGCTGTTAATACCCCGCTGCTACCTAACTTTCAGGTCATGGGAAGCTCCGTGAGCTGCATCTGGTCCAAGAGCCAGTGATTGAACACCCCTACCCAAGTGAATTCCTAGAGATGTCTGTTCAATTAAAGATGGCAGATTTTGATAAATTTCTTTTTCTTTTCTTTTCTTTTCTTTTAAAGAAAATAGCAGCCCTGAAGCATAGAGTGTGGAGGAAGTCTCATCAAAAGTCATCTTTACTTTGAAGATTAATAGAGTAGAATAGAATAGAGAAGAATAGAATAAAGTAGAATAGAAAAGAAATGTTCCCCTGTTCACCCTTGCAAAGCACACTATAGGGGAGAAGTGCTCTCACACCATTTGGTTGGTCCCTAGAGCTCAGATCCCATCGCTGCAATGGGAACACTAAGGACTACAACTGCATTCAGGATTCTAAAAAAGCAAAATACTCCACAACACATTTCAGACTTCCAGTACCCAGCACTACCATAAATACTAGTGTTAGTTCCTGCAAGGTATGCAGCTGAGGTCCAGGAGCAAATGGAAATGCTTGGGCTTCCTGGTGGAAACACTGAGTTCTATTTACATTGTGTTTACTTAAAAGCAGATGTAAGAAAAAAAGTAGGTCACAATGTGGGCGTAGCATCTCATTTGTGTCCCTTTAATGATAGGAATGCGTGTTTTTCAGCTGCTCTCCATCAGCTACATTGTAGGCAGTAAGAGAAAAGAGATGTTTTGAAACTGAAATATTACTTTACAATAACGGTTTGAACAAGACATGGGACTGCTTTTGGAGTAAATGAAGGCAAGCACAAACCTAAAGACCTTTTCCTACGTAAGGAACAGAGGAAACACTTTTCTAAGTTTTCCTTCCAAGCATCTTTTAAGCCAGATGTCAGATGCAGAGAAAAGGAAAATGACAAAAAGGAGCATGCACACACTGTACAGGCCTCTCCGCTATACCGGTATACATTTGCAAGAGAGAGAGAGAGATCCATCCTCCTCAAAAAACAGTTCCATCGATTCTTAGTGAGTGCGCAATCTCTTGCATGCTGTAGCTTACACTGTGCTATACCCATCCCTAGTGCAACTTGATTAGCCTCCATAGTGTTCAGATAGGGACTCACTGATTTTAATCACTATGTAGCTTCATCGGTAAACTATCCTATAAACTAATAAGGTCTAAATCCTAAAATGACTGGAATAGCATACGTTTAATCTGAAAATTCTGTGTTATCTTTAGTTCATTTTGTTGGCAAAAGACACTTGCTGTACACCAGTGGTAAGTAATCTTTTCCTGATGTGGGCTTGGATTAGAGGTAGGTGCGTGAGCAGATGGTAGGACCTCCCTACAACTGGCACATCTCCCCATAGTGGCCCAGGGACAGCATCTTCAGCTGAAGCCCCCCACAATCAAATACCACCAAAGCCTCATGTCCGCAGACCAGATTCAATGGCTCCATGGGCCAGAGGTCACTAACTCCTGCTGTATCCATATTAGTTAAAACCCTGTACTCTATTCTACCAACATATAGGCAGATAAGGTGAGGAAGGGTGACAAAACCAGCACACTTCATTTTCTGGGGTTTGCTGTTCTAATCCAGATTCTTAAGGACACTTTCACTGATCTGTTCTGTGGTTAAATTAATTTCCTTTCTAACGTAACAGAAAATAAAAGTTCTCACGGGAGTGAGGAAATGTTGGCAAATTACACCAGTCTACAGAGCTAGCCATATGTTTTAAACAACTTAGAAAATATATAATGTGCATCATATGCCTCAGCAAAGCCACCCCATAGTGCAGAGCCATAATGACAATGACAGAAATATGAATTCTTCAAAAACACTACTGTGAAAAGATAGCTGAGAACTAGTGGGCATCAATGATTTCACTGTGAAGAGAAAATTAAGATAAAATACCCGTACATTCAGTCATCAACACACACTAGTGACCACCCAAATTTAAACCGACTAGGATGAAAGAGTCCACGTTAGAAGCATAAGAAGCAGCATCTGGAATTGCAGTGTGCTTTTCTTTAGAAAAACAGAAATGTGTTGGGAAAAATTGGGAAAACGATCTCTGACCTAGGCATGGAAAATTTATCTGGGGAACTGTATTTCTTATTCTAAGTGAACTTATGCTTCAACAAAGGTCATTAAATGTTAACTAATTTCTTAAATCGGATTTTGTTGTTACCGGACCAAATCTAAGAAGTTAGCCATCAAGAGATCTGACATATAGCTTAACATGCTCATACTCTTTACAAAAAATAGCAAATGTCTCACCTCACGAGCAAACATTATTCAATCAAATTTAAGTACTTGCTGACAAAGGCGTAAGCAGAGTAGCTCTGTGCCTGGGACAGTTGAGATGCATGGGACAGCATTGGCTGCCATGGTGCTGATGGCAGCAGCAGCTCTTTGTTGCTCCCATCAGACTACCGCTTCCTAAAAGGAGGACTGGTCTAATTGGTTAGGGCCAAAAGATCTTATTTCTATTCCCAGCTCTCACAACAGTATCTTTTTTGGTCATGGTCTTGGACAAGTCACTTAACACTTTCCCTAGTGATCCCCCTGTGGTTCTCAACTGTTTTGACTTGAGGCACCCCCGGTTTGACTCAAGGCACCCCTACATAACCTTTGTGAATTGAGCAATACTCCATTTTCAAAAGTAATATATTTATGACAGTATTTGCCTCCTTGCGGAGGGGCTTGGCAATGTGGGTAGGGCAGCAGCCAGGCAGGTATAAAGCTGAGCCTGCACTTATCTCCTCACAGTTTGCAGACCCTTCAAAAGATCTCATGGCACCCTGACTGAGAATCACTTTCCCATACTGTAGGATGCTGCAGTGATCCTTGGACAGTGTTCAAAAAGTGCTTGCATTTTAAAATTTTATTCTGCCACAAAAGACTTGAGGAAGAAAGCAAAACTGCTTGAGGAAACCACACAATTCAACCCTGAGTGAAGGAACAGCTTTTCAGCGCTTTGGGGAATGGGCTCTAGAATAAGGCAAATCTACTGTGTTATCAATCATGTTTATTACAATAGTCCAAAGGACCAACCTTGAAAAACAGCCCATTATGCATTGTGCTGTACAAGTGCAAAGCAGCAAAGTGTCCCTCTCCAGAACATTTTACAATCAAAATGGACAGGTAAGACAAGTGTGGGGAGAGAAAAGTGGTGACATAAAGAGAAAGCAAACAATATGACAATATCAAACTTCATATGAATTCCAGGACTCTTGGGGAAGTGGGTTTAAATAGTATGTCTGCCTCCAGTCCCCTGGGAAAGAATCCTTTAGTGGTTCTGCGTACTTCAGCAAAAAGAGCCATGGGTCCAGAAGTCCTTGAGACACTTATAGGTGACTACCGCACCCATACAGAACTACAGTCCACAGTACCAGGAATATGGCTTTGCACTATAGCTGTTTGGACCCAGGCAAGTTTATCCAGAATGTGCAGACCAGAGTTGTGAGTTAAGCATGTCTTCCCTGAAGAGTTAAGGATAAGCGCTTTTGCACTTTCTGCAGACTTTCCCACTAGCAGCAGTATGGCCCATTGTGAAGCCACGTTGCAAACTCTTCCCCATGCATTCCCCACCAGGACTGCAGAAAGCCCAGAAAAGGAGTTAACTACATGAAGCAGCAATTATCCCCCACACAAGAATGTCTGATAGAAATCCCGTAGCTTTGCTAAGGGATGATGCCATGTAGAGCAGCTGCTCCACCTCCACCAACCAGCGGCTCCCCTCCCAAATCCCTAGAGCCTCAACTGTGCAATGTTTGTACTGAGGTGTCTCCCAGGATTCAGAAGGAGGGAACAAAGCACAGTGATTCTGTTCCCGTCTTTGTGATACGTTTGGGACAGCAGAATGGGATTTCTTCTATCTTCATTTCCTCTACAATGTGCAACACAGGGGCTGAAAACACAAAGCCAAGTTCTAACTGCCGGATAAGGGTCACTCCAGGCTCTTTCTGAGGATATTAGCAGACCTTCAGCTCCAGCAGTGACCACATCTGAGATGGCCACTTCCTTCACATTAGAGTCTTAAAAGGGCTGGATAATTCAGCCTTTTGGACAAACAGCACCCAAATTCACAGAAATGCAGATCTGTGGTAACAAGCACAATACTTCTCATTATCCCTTACCCAGAGTTTCCCCCCTTCCTCTCCTCCCCCTCTCCCTCACATTTTTCCACTCAACAGAAAAAGTAAATTTACATATTCAGTTATGTGTGAATAACTATATATACTTTGCTTTTACCTTCCATGCTGGGTTTTTTCATTTCTTCCACCCTAATTAGTTTCTTTCGGACTCTGCGAGTAGAATTTACCAGCTTGTGCAATCTCTTAAACTTCACCGACTCCTCTGTTTCATCATCCGATTGTTCTCTTGACTGGCAAAGAAACAAAGGGAATGTTAATAAAGTAATTGTTCCATGGCTTGCTTGTTGAAGTCAAGATTACCCAGCTCAGCTGCTGCTCAGAGTCAAGGCAGCTCCTGTAACTGGGGTTATATTTTCATCCCGGGTCAGAGCTTAAATTATTGAGGGCTTTTAGAAAAGCGTGACATACCATTTTGACTTCTA